TAGAAGTGTCAAGACGACCAGTCGACCACTACGCATGCATTGTATTAGCAGCTAAACAATGTGCAATAGAGAGATCAATGAACAGTGTAAGTGCAAGCAATGGAAATAACAACTTGAACATTTTTTTTAATTTTAAATTTTGTGATTAAATAAATCCAAATACGGCAAGCTAATACTGTTGGTATATATAAAATAGCAAAGCAAGGGGTCAAACACTAGTCAAATTCCCCAATCACGTTGATAAGTGGGAAACAATGGGAAGTCAATTCGTTCAATAATTCCAATCAAGTGGGGTTTAAGGCTAAAATTATCAGGGTAACAGTAACACAAAGATTTTAGTTGATGCAATCTTAAAATGAAGCAGTTGTATAAACCATCAATCGAGAACAAGGACTCCATGCTGTTTAGGTGCAGAATTGCGATGTGTGGGCCCCAGGAATGCTTGTTTCCTTTCTTTCGTGTCGAATGTTTTCAGCTCTTGAAATCATTCCAATTGTACCCTGAAAAGTAGCAGTGCAGTGATTTTGGTGATGAATGTTCCTTTGGTGCGGTGATGGTGTGAGTAGGCAAGTTGGACCGGATGATAAGTAGGTGTCGACGATGGAAATGTGATTGTCAGCGGTAACAACGACAGGAGTGCAGACGGCGACTGATACAGATGACTAGGTTGGCGGTAGGTATTGAGGTAGACAACGAAGATTTGTAGCTCTTGGCAGTGAATTGTACTTTGCTGCGTATATAATTTTGGGGAACTTGCGATTGGCCCACTAGTAGTGCAAGAAATGTGGTGACTGTGGCTTTTATATGGTTGAGATGGTCGGGAAATAAATGTGTGATTCAAGGAACGGTGGTAATGACTGATGATTTTGTGGTTGGTGGGATTTTAAAAGTCGGGGGCGAGTTTGGTGACTATGGGTGTGGTGAAGGTGGTCGGTGGTGGAGTGGCAGCTGTGTTGTAGGAAACGGAGGTGCTTGGGTCGGAAGAATGGGTAATGGCAGCAATGGTGTTGATTGGATGAGTCGATGGATGGTGTGGCGCGATTTGATGTAGAATAGGTTGAAGAAGATGAAAGAATTGGGCTGGATTGTGACTTGTGTGGGTAATAGGCAATGTGGGCTAGGCTAATGTTGTATGTATTTGGGCTTGGAAGTGAAGCTGGACTGGCTTGAAGGTGCTAAAAGAATGGGGTCGAGTTGGTGTATCGGTTAATTAGGAGTTGTTGGGCTGTGTTTGTTTGGATTTGAATTATGTGTTTAATGGTTTGGGATGTTTAGGCCGAGCGTGAGATTGGGCTTTGTAGGAATTGGAATGGGACCGTGAGGAATTAGGTTGTTGAGGATAGATACTGATTTTTTAAGAATATGTTGGTTTATGTGGGTTTAATGGGTTGTAGGTGATGGGCTTGGTTTTGTATGTAGGCTGACTAGAATTAGGAAAGAGTGATTAGGGTTAGACTCTGTGGAACAGCACTAGTTTGTCTAGCAATCGCAACATCAAAGAAATTTTTTTTTCCCTAGAAACTGATGAAAGATTAAGCTGAAATTTTCGGGCGTAAATAGTACCCATGAACAATACGATGAACAGTAATACTTTTTTTTTTTTTAAGAAACTAATGAAAGACTAAACTGAAATTTTTGGCGTGAATAGTACTCATGAACAATATCCGCAAACACTATTTTTTTTCACAAAGAAAGAAAATTGAAGAAGAAAATACCTCAATCTCTTTTCGTTTGTGTTGTTCTGAGAGGAAGAAATTTTGGATTGCAGGAGAGAAATTACCCATTTTTCGGCTCTGATACCAAATTTGATGTAGGATAAATAAGAAAACAGCAAGAAAGAGGGAGAACTAAAGAGAATGAGAGGAGAAATCGAAGAAGAAGCAGAAATTCGGGGGGAGAGAGGAAGGAGGGCCCAAAACCAATTTCAATTCATCGTATCATCAAACTGTCTGAATTACACAGCGAATCTAATATAAATAGTAAAACCAAACCCTAGAGAGATTAGGCTTGGGCCAAACCTATTGTACAAGTCCAACAACATAAATAAGAATCCAAAACAAAAATAAAGTCCAACTAGAAATAAATAAATAAAAATAGATGTCCTCATCACCTTTTATTTTCATTCTCAAGCACTGTTGTAATATGATTTCATTCTGGTTTTGCCTCAGTCATTCGCCCTCCTAGCCTTAACCCCTAAAGTTTTCAGATCCATATTGTTTTTATGTTTATAAGCTAATCAACTGAAATAATTCTAGGAACTTGTCTAGCTTAAACTTTGAATCATATTGCGGGGGAATATTGAATTATTTGAGGAATTTGAGTGACTCTATGCTGACTACTGCACAATCATTACAGTTGGATAATGAGAAGGGGGAGTAAGTGAAAGCTTCAGGGAAGAAATCGACCCTCTTGGTGCATGCCTCTCAGTGCTGTGTTCGGCAATTGGCTCCAAGTCAACGATGATTTGAACCATCGAAATCTTACCAAATACGCCAAGAATTTCGATGACTTATTCTTGCTCAGATTGGGTCAACGTAATCTCATCGTGGTTTCATCGCCAGACCATGCAAAGGATGTCTTGCACACACGGGGAGTTCAGTTCATGCACAAGGAACATTGTTTTCGACATTTTCACGTGTAAAGGAGGCCAAGACATGGTGTCCACCGTTTATGACGAGCATTGGCACAAGATGCGGCAGATCATGACGGTGTTGTTTTTCACCAACAAGTTTGTGCAACAATACTGACAAGGGTAGGAGGCCGAAGTGGTGGCTGTGATCGAGGATGTGAAGAAGAACCCTGAACAACCACATTTTCAATGTTTTAATAATAAGGCTTTTGGATTAATTTGCAATTTTTTTAAAAGTTCGGGAGTATGATTGTAATTTGCGCTTTATTTTTCTTTTCTTTTCTTCTTCTATTTTATTTAAACAAGAGGGTAGATCGGTCATTTTACATTAAAAATTGGTAAAAAGGACATTTTTCGCAATGAAATGTGGAAATAGGGGTAAAAATGCCAAAAAATGAAAGGGAAGAACGTTTTGCACAATGACATTGAAAGATAGGGATATTTTGTGCTGATTACCCTTAATCATAACTTATCATATCCCAATTACTAAACCTATATAATTGACTTAATAAAATGCCTTTAGTAATAATATTAATAATTACACTAGTTTACTACCAATAAATAATAATAATAATAATAATAATAATGAAATTCTCGTTATTATTATAAAAGAATTTCCGTAATTTTTATAATAAAATAGTACACTTAAAAATTAAGTTAGCCAATACACTACCATATTATTTTCCATTTCATGTTTGATCCATTTTTCATTTCATCTAACACACAAGTGTGTGTGTGTGTATCGTGAAGACGAGATAGAGTTAGCCATTGAAATTTGACTTCCGGTGTTGCCCAGTTTGAGGGGCGGAATGCTAAAAAACTAGGGCTACAGCACATTGACTTTGAAGTATGGAGGGCCTCCTTTCTTGTGGTACGGTACTCCACCTTGCGGGGTTATATCCCATACGAAGAAGACCAAATGGGTTGGGGCTATATTCAATGTCTTATCCATTCCATATTCTTTTTTACTAAATTTCCAACATACCTTACCCTTGACACTGCATTTTAACCTTTTACTTTACATCTAAATAATTTAAGTTTTAAGCCTCAAGTGCTAATTGTTTTCTCCAATTGAATTTACCATGATACATACATTAGTGGCCCAATTTCCATGACCGATATTAAGATGATATTAACAAACTAATACCTAATCATTTTCTATCCCTACTCCCTTTCTTCTTTAATTACTTCAGACCATTTTTCTCCATTCCATCTTTTCCCCAAATTTCTTTTACACAATCTTTGATAATGCAAGCTGAGTTAACTAAACTATTATTTCTTGAAATGACTTATAGATTTTTAAAACTTTTAGAGTAAAGAATTTAAAATAGAGAAATTATAATTCACCATCCTTGATTTAATTAATTAAATTTAACTCTAATTTTATCTTCCTTCAATTATTAAAGAACCTTAAAAGAAGAATTTTAATTCCTATACATAAACCAATTAAGTACTTAACACAAATATTTAATTAAATGATTATCTAAATAAATAAATAAATAACTAAACAATTAACTAAATAATTAACTTAAATAAAGAAAGAAAAATACAAACTTACCTGAAAAAAGGAGTGAAAGGGAGGCGTGTCCCACTTCCACATTCATCCCCTATGCAAAGTATTCCTAACAGGAAGATCATTCAGCCAAACTTTGTCATCAAAGTAACATTTGTCTCAAATGATTTTTGCCCCATCACTTTGAACTTACCATCTATTATGTAACATATCTGTAACCTAACTCTGGCTTGGTAACTACTTATATTCTAGCTTTTAAACCTGGTAAAAACAGAAAGACTAAGGGTTCCAGCTGCAGTGGGCTTTTGTATGAACTGTAACTTTATTTTTTCTTTAGGTGTTCTCAAGGAAATCTACATCCATATAGAGATGAAATTGTTTGAGAGAAAGAAAATGGATCATAGCAACAAAATTGCCTAGTAAACTTCCCATTTTCACGAAGGTATTGCAATTTTGGCAATGAAATCAGGGAGCAAAGTCAATATGACTAAAAGCCTGAGGAGACTATATTTACTGCTTCAATTTGGCGATTGCAAATCTGGTCAAAATTTGACTCCTAAAATATCTCTGGAAAAACATGACGTAAGTCAAATTAAATAGAAATTAAATTGATTGAGTGCTTTTAACTTTTAGGAACATATCAGTGGTGATTCTGCCTTGTGATACTTTGGCATAATGCTGATGTATGTTATTGCTGGCATCAAATCACAAGATAATTTATGTTATAATTACTTTGTGTTTTTTTTTTTTTTCCCTTTCTTAGGAAGGGTTATTTTTTCTTTTCTTAATATTTTAGACGTAGTTCTGGATCACTAGAATAACATTTTCTTCCATTGGCTAATTATGACCCTTCTACAGGCTTGCTGCAAATTGGCCACCAACCATGCAAATAGTTCGGTTGATATCCGAGGACCACATGAATAACAAGTAAATTCCGCTTATTGGATATACTAACTTTTTAAAAAAATCGTTTTCTCTTGTATTATACTAACCTAAATTGTCAACTTGTCTTGATAATGATAGGCAGTATGTTGGAAAGGCTGATTTTCTAGTTTTTCGTGCAATGAATCAGCATGGGTTTCTAGGGCAGCTGCAAGAAAAGAAGCTTGTAAGTTTTCTCAATGCTGACCGTGATTACTTGATATGACTTGTTAAAAGCTTGATGAGGATAATGATAAGAAGCACGATATGAATCCCTCTCAAATGTAGTAGTTTTGTTAAAGAAATTGAAGAAAAAATTCCATGAGATGAAAGCCTTATGCACTTGAATTCTTTGAATCTCATTTTTTCTCTGTATAAAAAGTAATTTATGTGGTTGTTGGACATGAAGAACTACTTAACTATATCCGCCTGATATTCTCGAACAATGCTATTTGCTGTCCATATGATCATGTAAGTCCAACTCTCACTTTGGATATACATCTTGGAGCTGTTAGGCTCTGATGTCTATGAAATCTGGATTTCTACTTTTATGCTGAAACATATGTATGAAAGCTGGATTGAGTAGGATCGACTAGCAAGTACATTTATGTTTAAGAAATTCAAGTATGGGTGATTGTGTGGGTTCGTATTGTCTTTCTGGCATCCTTTGTTCCAAGCTGTTGGTTATTTCCGAGCATTTCTCTCAAAGATTTACTGCATGGAGTAAGCTGGCTTTGGTTTATGGTTTCTTTGATTTAGTTGTTTCTTTTTCCATTTCAGTAGAGGTCCATTACCTTATCTCCAGAATTCTTAAAAAATTTAATCAAGCTAATTTATTTTAAGGCAATCATTTTCTTCTTTGGGGTTGATGGAAAAGTCTACCCTCTTTCATGTCTCGTTGGGATTCAGGAAGGAGATTTTACTTTGATAACTATAATTGGTCTGTGGGAGAACGGCGCTTTGTGAATTATCCATCACTCAGATCCTTGATAAAAGATTAAATTATTCTTGGCCCTCTTTATGCATCCTACAATTTATTTGAAAGCAAGTCAATTTTTTTTATTGCTTCCAGGCAAATCTTGTTTAACTTCTACCCGGTCTAGAAAGCCAAAAAAACTGCCTTAGTACTGTAACTCTTGCTTGTTCTGTATTTTAGTTGAGACTGTCAGCAGGCTTTTGGCACCTCCAGCTCTCAAGAAGACCATTGAACTGACTGTGAACTTCTCTGTCGTGAACTCACCATCCCTTCCATTACTTCAATTACTACCTTCATACTTTTTACAAATTTAGTTAAGATTGTGAAAAGAAATTGCCTGTTAAGTGAAAGAGTTGCCCACATGCAGAAGAGCATATTGACTGAAGCATTCCCTTGTTTCATCTCGGACTAAGCAGGTCCTATCTCCAGAATTTCTGGAGATTAAGCTTCTGCAGTATTCTTCATTTCAAATAACAAAATCTGGGCAAAATAGTTATGCAACCATGCATTATAGTGCTTGCTTTGTACCAAAAGAGAGACCTGATGATTATCCTTGTATAGTCAAAGTTTTATACTGAAAGTTCGGGATTCATACATCAATGCAACGAGCTGTTGCCTTCTGAATGAATTCTCAAACCTATTTGGTATTCGAGAAGGGATGTCGGCTCTTAATTTGTACGGAAGTAATCCTTGGTGAAACTAGGAAGAAACTTTGACAATTGTGTATAGCATCTTCAATGTATGGAAAGAAAATTATTTCCTGAATCTTGAGGAAAGAAATCACTTGGTGATGGTGATTTCATACCAGAACTACAGAATTCTCCTTTATCTTGTTTACCCTCTTCCCTCCCACAACAAATTGGATGGAACCTGGTGAAAAGGAAGTGATCCCGTTGTCGAGGCTCTTATAAAATGTGTTTGTTTTTCTTCAAACTCCCTTTTGGACCTTCCTTCGCGTCTTCACTCACCTGTATTGTTCTTAGCATCCCATGAGTCATTGTAGTCCTCCTTTTTGCATCAAAGCGGACGCTCAAGGAGCTCACTAAATGTGGCTACAAGCACCAAAAATTCCAGGATGGGATTAAGAGAGATGACAATGGAGATAGTCAACCAAATCATTTGAGTCTTTTTTTAAATCAAAACTTTCGTGGTGGTGTTTTTTATTAAAAATGGAAATAATAGCAGAAAACAACTTTAGATGCAGGGTTAGACCTAACCTTCTGCAAGTGAGAAGTAAAATGCCGATTAACATACTATGAGACTTATCCCACCAACATGTGAAGTGCATGATAAAATAAAGGACCTTCCATGTGTCTTTTGCACGTTGTGGTGTAGCTGAAGTTGTAGGCGTCATCTTGTGAACTATATTCATAGTTTGTATGTACTCTATCTAACATGGCCGCTATATCTTTATCATCACGTGGCTCGTGGGAAATGTCATGTTGATGTAGAGATCACTCACAATGATATCTCGAGTCTGTTTCTGACATTCAGAACTTACTTGATTGAAGGAGATTTTTCTGGACTTCGAGAAGTAACTGAGGTCCTCGAAACAGTGGACGAAGACTTTCACCGCTTCTCTCAATTTCAGACCCACTTGCAGTAGGTGTTTCTTAAAGTGATCAATGAGTCCTTGTTTAAGAGACTCATAATCCGTGCCACCCAGTGCCGGCTCTAACTATAGGTGGGGTAAGCGATCGCCTATGGCCCTACTTCGGTGAGGGCCCAAAAAAATTATTATCTTTTATTTTACATGTATTTTTATTTATATATATATAGGGTCCCATATTTGAAATTGGTCTAAAACTCCTAAAATCTCAGGGCAGGCCTTGGTGCCACCAAACACGTATATTTGTTTTCATTTGATTCCTCCGACTTTTCAGCAGTTCTTAGATCAGCCAAATTGGTCCCCCATTTTTCGCATTTTGCTAATTGTCCTTTGGTCGCGGTCAGACTTGTACAAACAAGCTCTAATGGATCCTTGAGATTCAAATCAACCAAATCATTCGAGTCTGCTGATTCAGAATAACAAACAAAATTGTGAACTTCTTGCTTTAACAGCTTGAATACAAGGAAATCATGTGGAATACTCATTGCACAGTCAACTAACAACAGCAAAAGTTTTGAAGATGGATGTCATCAACTCCTCTTACTAGGGTGAGGCTAGGTTCAGAATGAATGCGAAAGGGCTATATCATAGTCAAGAGTGGATAGCACACCATCTCAATTTTTTCTACTTATTTCCTTTTAACTTTTCTTGATGTAGTATGTCCGTATTCCAATACTGTGATATTGATAGCCTGACACAAATTCCTCATTTTATTTGTTTGGAAATTTTCAGTGTGCAGTTATACAGTTACCATTGCAGACATTGTTGATCTCAGTTTCTGATAAGGCTTGTCGTTTGATTGGAAAGCTTTTCCCCGGTGTAATGCAGTTGCAGTAGCAAATGCCGCAGGTACAGCAGCAGCAGCAGACGTCGCCGTAGCTACAGCAGCAGCAGCAGAATGTCCAGCAACCAATGGTTGGTACAGGTATGAATCAATCTTATATTCAAGGTGGGGGACGATCACAGCTATTATCTCAGGGACAAGTTTCATCACAAGGGCAATCGAGCTTGGCTGGAGGAACCCTTATGAATTGACAAGTCTGTATAGTGAGTATTGATTGATTTGTTTCTGCAGAACCTTATTAGTCTGTTTAAATATTTCCAAAATCTCTGTTCTTGATTTTCTATGTACAATCTTGTGGCAATTATACTTATCAAAAAGATTGTTTAATTTAATCCAGGAGTTTCTAACACGAGTTTATGGATCTTTCATGGATAAACGTTAAAATCCTAGCAGCTAGAATAAGGACTCGATGGTCTCGAGTATAAAAGCTAGTTATTTACAGTTAACTGTGAAGTCGATGTTATCGAGCGGCACCAATGTAAGTATATTATAACAGTGACTATACCTAATAAAATTGTTATGCAGATGTCACGGCAAAAATATCTATTAAAAAAAATAATATATATGTCTCCTTAAAACTTTGCTAATAAAATTCAATGAGGCAAAACTTGAGCGAAGGAAAAAAATTATAGCTACTCCCTTTGATTTCAGCAAATAAAAATCCTTGTATCGAGTTGTCTATGTATTGTACGTCAATGACTTCAATATCATAATTGTAATCATTAATATTCTCTTATTATAACCTCCAAGCAATAATAATTACATACAAGATATTTATCATTTAGTCAGTATGATGGTCCCTTGAAAAAATGATTTTGTTGCCTTTGGGATTCTCGTATTTATACCATATAAGAGTATTAGTTTAAGGTTAAATATATTGGAGGTTATGAACATTCATTACACAAAAATACGACTCATTAAAATTTTACTGGAAAAAATTGTGAGAGAAAATCATAACGAAGAAAAAATTGTGCATTATTTCTTTGAATATACTACAAAAATTGTCTCGTTAATAAGTCTGTCACTACAATCCAATGGGATAAAACTTTGGTCTAAGAAAAAAGAGTACAATGATTATTTACTCCCTTATGATAATATCACTTGATTTATATGCTTCACGTATATTAAATCCTTCACGGATAGTACTCGGACAAAATTCGTAAGCGTACAAGATCATTGACGAGTAATAGGTAATGAATATGTGCATCGTCCCATGAGAAATGAATGGTAATTATAGATGCTAATTACTAAAATTCGATCAATGTAATACAAAAGGGTTGTTGGTTTTGTTATCATCCTAATTAAACTGAGAATGGCGTTAAGATAGGGTTTTTTTTTTATCAAATAATGAGGTAAATGTATTAGATTTCATAATCCACATATTGACTTTTATTTTCTATTCTTAAAATTTAGTGATCTTCAAGTATTCACGACAATCCATTAATGTCTAATATTTTTTCCAAGATATATTAAACATATCCTAAGCACGATATGATCTTATTCCTAATCAAATCAAGCATTCAATCACACGATTGTACTTACCATAACTATTATTTATAATACCTATTGCCAATTTGTCAAATGTGCTATGTTCTAACATATTTTGAGTCTCTCGTCATTATAATAAACAACTAATTGTCTAAATATTGATCAAGCATCCAAACAATGAAATAAGTATACATGAGTGATCAAGAACACAAGAATTCACTAAACTAAAAAGTTTAGCGTAGCATTATTATATTAAAATTAAACAAAAAGATATGAAATAACTAGACATTCAATTTATGGCATGATTGTATAATATAAAGACAGGTTTGCATAGCTTATATTATGGATAATTGCTGATAATCAGCATTGTAATTAGCAATGCAATGGGCTAAGAGCCTCTATATATTCTGAAGAACTCTCCCAGTGAGGGGAATTGTTGGTCATTTGCATCAGGATCACCACCTCACGTTTTCTGTCCATGTGTTTTATTTATTTAATATACTTAGTCATGTTATGGTTCCAAGGAAATGGTTAATTTGTCATGTGCAGCAGTGCGTCATGGCTTGGTTTCAGGCCACTTTGTTAGTTTTTCATTTTCATATATATATATATATATATATATATGCATTATGAATGAATTGAATTTCCAATTTGTGTTCCCATATATCTTCCTCAGTTTTCTTACTTTTTGTTCAAGGACATCTCCTTTATCAAATTGTTCTTTTATCTTTAAACTCACAATTTGGTATCAGAGCCTTAATCTTGAGGGACCTGTGAGTTCATTTGAGTGTTCAAATGGAAGGTGAATCTAGATTTTCATCAATGGCTCCGCTAGTTTTCCATGGAGACAATTATCAAACGTGGGCAGTGCGTATGGAGACATAAAATTGTTCTTTTATCTTTAAACTCACAATTTGGTATCAGAGCCTTAATCTTGAGGGACCTGTGAGTTCATTTGAGTGTTCAAATGGAAGGTGAATCTAGATTTTCATCAATGGCTCCGCTAGTTTTCCATGGAGACAATTATCAAACGTGGGCAGTGCGTATGGAGACATAAAATTGTTCTTTTATCTTTAAACTCACAATTTGGTATCAGAGCCTTAATCTTGAGGGACCTGTGAGTTCATTTGAGTGTTCAAATGGAAGGTGAATCTAGATTTTCATCAATGGCTCCGCTAGTTTTCCATGGAGACAATTATCAAACGTGGGCAGTGCGTATGGAGACATAAAATTGTTCTTTTATCTTTAAACTCACAATTTGGTATCAGAGCCTTAATCTTGAGGGACCTGTGAGTTCATTTGAGTGTTCAAATGGAAGGTGAATCTAGATTTTCATCAATGGCTCCGCTAGTTTTCCATGGAGACAATTATCAAACGTGGGCAGTGCGTATGGAGACATACTTGGATGCGTTGGATCTATGGGAGGCTGTTGAAGAAGATTATGAAGTTCAGCCCCTCCCAGCAAATCCTAGTGTGGCACAGATCAAGACACAAAAGGAGAAAAGGACTAGGAAATCGAAGGTGAAGGCATTTCTATTTGCAGCGGTTTCACCAAGGATATTTACCAGAATTATGTCTCTCAAAACAGCTAAGGCCATTTGGGACTATCTCAAGGAAGAATATGAAGGAGATGAAAGAATTAAAGGGATGTAAGTCCTGAACTTGTTTGGGGAATTCAAACTTCAAAGAATGAAGGACTCCATGACAACTAAAAATTATTCAGACAGATATCTTAGCATCGCAAACAAAGTGAGGCTTCTTGGATTTCTGTTTATTGACTCATGAATTGTAGAAAAAATTCTTGTTACAGTACTTGAAAGATATGAAGCAACCATCACTACCTTGGAGAATACCAAGGATCTGTCAAAAATTTCCTTAGCAGAATTGATTAACGCATTGCAAGCACAAGAGCAAAAAAAACTGATAAGGGAGGATACAACAGTGGAATGAGCTTTGGCAGCCAAGCATCAAAACCTGGCAAAAAACAAAATGAAAAAGAAGGATTTTAAAGGAAATGGAGCAAGTACAACATCAGCCAATGCAAAAGGAAAGAATGGAAATCAGAGGAAATTTTATCCTCCTTGCCAACATTATGGATAAAAAGGTCATCCTCCGTTTAGATGCTGGAATAGACCTGATCCTAAGCGTTCCAAATGCAATCAACTTAGACATGAAGTAGTAATTTGCAAAGGAAAAACTCAGCAATAGGAAGTTGAAGCCCAAATTGCAGATCAAGATGATGAAGATCAGCTGTTTGTGGCATCTTGCTTTGCAAGTAGTAGTTCAACTGAAAGGTGGCTAAAAGTTGTACCAACCACATGACCAATGACAAGGGACTCTTTAGAGATTTGAGGCCAATTGACATTACTAAAGTCAGTGATTATATCTCTATCAAAGGGAAAAGGGACAATCTCCATAACCAGCACTGTAGGCACAAAGAGAATTTCTAATGATCTCTACGTACTAGATGTTCACCAAAATTTGGTGAGTGTAGGTCAATTGATTGAAAAATGCTTAAAAGTGATCTTTTGAAGATGGTTTCTATTGCATTCTTGATGTCATGGGTCAGGAAATTCTCAAGAGACTTGGTCACTGTCACTTGTAAATGATGTAGCTCATGAAGAAAAAGGAGCTCACAATTGGCTTACCAACCTTTGGAGATCACAACAAAAACGGAGACCATTCCCAAAGTCAACCTGGAGAGCCACTCACAAGTTATAGCTAATCCACACAGTTGTATCCGATCCTCAAAGAATTCTATTATTAGTTGGTAGTTGGTATTACATTGCGTTCATCGATGATTTTCCAAGAATGTGTTGGATTTTTTTCTTCAAATTCAAGTCAGAAGTGGCTGGAGTGTTTTGGAAGTTCAAGAAAATATTGGAAAACCAAAGTGGCTTCAAATTCAACCTCTAAGGTCAAATAATGGAAAAGAATACACCTCAAAAGAATTTAGAGTGTGTTTGATTGGCATGAAAAATATCACCTAAAAAAAGAAAATATTTTCCTTGTTTTGAGGAAAACAAAAACCACTTCCACCCAAGGAAAATATTTTCCTTAAAAATAAGAAAAATTAGGCATATTTTCAAAAGTTGAAAATGTTTTTCATGGAAAAAATAGCAATCAATCATTTCAAGTAGGAATTTGTGTGAAAAATTGATATTTTCCATGGAAAATAAATTTAATCAAACACACCCTTAATTTGTTTGCGAGGAAGTAGCACAGAACACCAGCTTGCTGCTCCCTACACTTCGCACAAAACGGAGTTAGTGAAAGGAGAAACAGATACATAATGGAGATGACCAGATGTATGCCTCATGACAAGGAGTTGCCAACGAAATTTTGGACTGAGGCGGCAAGTACTGCAGTTTTCTTGCAGAACAGATTGCCTACCAAGACATTAAAGGATAAAACTCCATGCAAGGCATGGTATGGTTATACCTTCACTCAATTTCCTTAGAGTGTTCGATTGTATGTGTTTCTCTCACGTTTCACAGGTCAAGCTGATAAACTGGACAAGAAGTCAGAACCAGGCATCTTCGTGGATTACAGTTATTCCTCTAAGACATACAAGGTGTATCAACCTCAAACAGGGAAGATAATTGTTAGTAGGGATGTGTTCTTCATTGAAGATGAGAAGTAGAACTGGGAACAAACACAAGAGACATCTATAAGCAAGCAAAACATCAAGTCTCCCTTTTTAAACAATAGAAATGCAAGCCCCTAACCAGTGGCAAGAAGATTTAGAAGATGAACCACGAATCTGTGGAACAAGATCGCTCCATGATATCTATCAAAGATGCAATGTGGCTGTTTGTAAGCCTACAGGTCATGAAGAAGCCATTAAAGAACAGAAATG